TAAGAACAAATTAGCTAAACAGCCACTTAAGTTTTTAACCTTCTTCAGTATTTAGAGCTTGCACTTACTGGTATTTTATGGCTTAGTCTTCATAGTACCTGTGATTATTTACATTTATACCTAATGTTGTTCATACTCCATGTACTTGAAATGTACAGTTTGTTAATTTTTTAAATGTTTGAGTTTCCCATAATTGTGATTGTTTTTCCATTACGTTGTCAAATTCAAGCCTATACAGATGTTTAGAAATTTTTAGGAAAATTAAGCAGTTACCATAGCTGACTTTTTGTCTTTGTGCATTTTTCTGGGCTTCAAAAGTATCGTTTGTGGCAGTGCCATCCTTAATTTTTTACAACAGGACTGCTCTCATTTCCTAAGTACTTTTTTACAACTGGCTTTAGGAAGCACTGAGAGCCAATTCATTTGAAGGATTCTACCAAACTAAAATTAAACATAATTTCGAGAAATAGATAGCATGTCCATAAGTAGCTAAAGCAGTTATTATCCCTTAAGACTTTCACAAATTTAATCTTCCCCACTGGTAGTGAGTTGTAAAGACCATGGGTAACTTGGAATTTTTTTTTATATTTTGAAATACTAAGTTATCAGTTTGTTTTTTCTTTTTTAAAGGTCGTAGCTATTCGAAGCCCCAAATGTAGTTTGTATAGTCTATTCAAAGTACATCATCATAATTTCTATTTTCTCTAAAGATACAAGAGTTTATTTACAGTCAACAATAGCTGTGTTGTGCTTGCTAATATCAGACTTGGCAATGGGGAAGTAAATGCCAACTATTTTGAGCTACAGTAGAGGTCACTTTGTGGAGTCTGATGTTTATATTCAATACAGTAAAACTGGTCTAAAGAGTCTTTTGTTGCTGGACTATAGATAATTTCACAATATGAGGTCGTGTTCTTTAACACTGGACATTCCTTTATCATGCCTTTGTTTTATAGTTTAAGTGAATCTCTGAAGGGGAGAGTTTTGCTATAATTTTCTATGTCAGATTGTTAATGATATTATCAATGTTCTTCAAAGCAGTATAGTGCCTCAGATATAAAAAAATCAAGAGTTTTCTTTTCTTGTACTCAAAAGTATTAACCTAATAATAAAATTGAATTTTCATTTAAGTACAAATATTTGAAATGTCAAATTAAAATTTCATCAATTTTCATATCATTTATTTTCAAAAAGTTTATTTATTCTTACAGAGGTTGACTTTCTAAAATCCACATAGTTCAGTCATTTACATTTCCTTATACAATGAGAAAAGAACACTTGAAAACTTCTGAAGATGAAGCTAATTTTTTTAAGTTAGTAAACTACTGTTTGGACAGCTTAAGTTCATCACATCTATAGGGGGAAGTTCAGCAATGGCTAAAGAGTACGTGCTCCTAAAGTGGAGCAGAAGCATACAATTACCTGTTTATTCTGCAAAGTTCATTACAAGGAAGGATTACATCATATCAATAGGCTCATGTATTTCCTGCAAATTAAAAAGATTTTAGTGGCTGATATAAAAAAGTTTATAAAGAAAATTTCATCCCTCACTGATACTCATAACTTTCTACCTATAATTTATCTGATGAAAATGGTGTAGGCAATCTAAGCAAACAGCAATTGTAACAGCTACGTTCTCTCTCACTGGCATACATATACTTGAAAAAGCACACATGATTTCATATCAAGAAAAAAGTTAAATGACATGACTTCACATCATTTGGTATGATAAGCATTGAATACATTCAGAGATACCATTGATGGTAATACATTATGTAAGGTACTACTACATGATGCCTGTTATTTCCAAAATAGACCAAAGAACCAGTTCACTCCCCTCAGTGATTCCTGTGCCTGCCATATAACACTTTCTACTAGGTCCATATTTTCCTAGGCTGCAGTGTTCGTGTCATATTCAGTATTTTGATAAATAAAATGTATTTCTGTAACTTTAGTCATAGACTTTCCAGTCCGCTTAAGATTCAGCTTTCTGAGTCAAGATCCACCTACATTTCTGTTCCAGTCATGCTCTCACTCCAAGGTAATAAAGTGTTTCCCAGTCATTTTCAGAACATTACGATCTCAGTTAATCTTTTTTCAACTCAAACCACACAAAAAAGTAGATTAAAAAGGGTGCTTCCTCTTTTCAAAAAAAAAAAGTAAAAAGTAAACAAGGACTTCTGCAATGACTTCCCCAAATGCCAAGAACAGATTGGCCAGGATTGCACTCGGGCCATCTCTCGCTACAGCGCAGTCTACCAGCAGTTTCTAAGCTGAGGTGTGAAATGTATTAAATAGACCAATAAATCAGTGACCAAATTGCTCACTGTCAGAGGCAACTACCGAGCTTTTTATCAGCAGCCATGCCGCTTTTTCCAGTGTGTTCACAAGGCAATGATGTGGCTTCCCACCATCCCCCTTGATTCCTTGGCAAAAAAACACAGAACTGCCACTTTATTAAAAGATATCCTTGGTGACTCAGTGCTAAAGAACACACCTGCCAATGCAACAGTTGCCGGTTCAGTCCCTGGGGCAGGAACATCCCCTGGAGGAGGAAATGGCAAATCACTCTAGTATTCTTGCCTGGGAAATCCCATGAACAGAGGAGTGTGGCAGGAACAGTGCATGGAGTCACAAAGAGTCTGACATGACTTAGTGACTAAACAAAGGGATTGACAACTTATTAAGTAGACTTAAATCTGAGAGTCAATACTTCAAAATTCTTTGGGCCCTCTCTTACTTAAATATGGGCCCTTCCCCTTCAAATGTAGGGTAGCTGCTACCATGAGAAAGGCATCTTAGGATGTTGAGAACATAACCATAAGATGAGGCCTTGGACCTCATCTAATATAACCTTCTTTTCACACAAAAGAAAACTGAGTCACAGAGAATTAAAATGACTTATCTAAGGTAAGTCATCTAACTAATCACAATTTTATCCCAAATATGTATTCAACACCTCAAACTTTAGTGGACTTTTAACTTTATTAAAGTAGCAAATTCAAAAATCTCTCTGAAACCTTAGAGAATAGGTTCCTAAAAGCTCTTATTTCCAGGCAGTTTACAAGTGATTAATTTAAGAATGTGTGGACAGGGGAGTCCAAGATCAAGAATTAACCATGACACCCACAGGAATATTTTTGTATTCGCTGAAGTAAAAAAAAAAACGGAAACTGCAACACAATAAATACAGAGAAAATTACATTTTGCATATCTTTTAAGTTAGTAATAATGGGCAAACTAGTTTTTATTTATTTCTTGCCAGGAACTTGTCAGGCACTTCCTATCGCCAATTACAATGAATGTCATGAAAATACATGCTGTTTCATGCTATATCACAGGTACTAAGAATAATAATTTCCTGTGCAGGACCCCCACCCAGATGCCCAATGTCTTCCTAAATCTACGGCTTCAAGAGCTTCACTCCCTTCTCACTATTGCTGCTTCACATATCTCAGACATCACTAGTGTTAAGTCCTAGATTTACTCTCTCAACTTCATTTATCTCTCTTATGATTTCCTTTCCTGGCAATCCACTATATCTCCTCTTTACAGCTCTCAGCAACCAGTTCCTTCTTTTTCTAATGATTCAAATTAAGAACAACTACAAATTTAACATTCTTAGAAAGAAGAAAATTTTGTTGGTGGCTTTTTATTCCTCACAGGAGCAGGCCAGCATCTTTCAGTTTCTCCAAAGACAATCATTGTACAAACAGATCTTTCTACCATTCCCTTCTTAATATTGATGGCTTTCCATAATATGAATCAGATAAATCTTAAAGACCCCCTTGCTAGTAGAGATAAAAAGGGAGAAGCAATGAAAGAAGATAAAAACTTTGTATAAGACAGAATTGAAATTGTAAGATGTCTCTGCATGATAAGTCGCTTCAGTCATGACTCTGCAGTCCTATGGACTGTAGCCTGCCAGGCCCTTCTGTCCATAAGACAAAATGTCTTCCAAAAATGTCTCCCCATGATTAATTTATTAGCTGCTCATTAATAAATGACAACTCTATTCTTCCAGTTGATCAAGTCATGAACCTTAGAATCATTCTTCACTCATCTTTGTTTATCCCACTCCCAACGTGTCATCAAATACTGTAGGCACCACCAGTCTTTTCTCACAGTATCTTTTACTACCACCCTATCGAGAGCACAGCCCTGTCTTGCCTACTTTATTGCAGGCACCTTCTAAATGGGCTCCCTTCTGCCCTTTCCCCTGATTCAGTCTGTTCTCACAGCAGCTAGAGTACACCTTAAAAAAAAAGAAGAAGAAGAAAACCCCTATCCCTCCTGCTCACAAAACTCTGGTCGTGTTCCCGTCTTGCTCACAGTAAAATTGCCTGAGTTGTTTGCCGTGACCCTAAGGCACTTACTGCTCTGGCCCAGCTGTCTTGCTGGCCTCCCGTCTCACCAGGCTCCACGGGCTCCACTCGGCTCCATCTCTTCCTGTCTCTTACTGTTAATCAAACACACAAACCAGATCCCCACTTCTCAGCAGTAATAATCAATCACAGCTGGTAATGGTTTGCTACCATTGTCCTTGGGATATTTGCATTTGGCAAAGCTTTGGCTAAAGGGAAAAACTTCCAATCAGGGACCAGCAGGTCACATCAGAAGACTGTGAAGGAAGATTCCCAAGAGGAAGTAGCCCCTCAATCACATAGCCTGATTAGGATATGATATGACTCAGACATTAATACCGTCACAATTTCAATTTTTTTAAAGGTTCCGTTGGACTTCAGAACTAATCGTCTATCCCAGTTCTCCTTTTCCCATTATTCTTTAACAGTCGGAGATAATAACTTCTGATTTTCCTTTTCATCATGCATTTAAAGAGGTCATGCGATCCACACAGTCTTTGGGTGGAGTTTTAAAAATGCTCATTTCAGAGACAAATATTTACCTCTGCAGGTAGCCAGTACTAGACTAGTCAGTGCCTAGAAGCCTCTCTTCTTTGTAAAGGATTATCGCCCCATCAGGTTCTCTCTCGTTTTGTGCCTTTAGGTTATGAAATGTGGCTCAGGGTCTTTACAGCTTTCCTTTCCTTCACAGCAGGAGCTTGCTCGGGGCTGAAGGTGGCAGTGCCATCACAGACCGTCCATGGCATCAGGGGCCAGGCTCTCTATCTCCCCGTGCACTATGGATTCCACACTCCAGCATCAGACATCCAGGTCATATGGCTTTTTGAGAGACCCCATACGATGCCCAAGTACTTGCTGGGCTCCGTGAACAAGTCTGTGGTTCCCGACTTGGAATACCAGCACAAATTTACCATGATGCCACCCAACGCCTCCCTGCTCATCAACCCGCTGCAGTTCACCGACGAAGGCAATTACATTGTGAAGATCAACATCCAGGGTAACGGAACTCTGTCAGCTAGTCAGAAGATTCAAGTCACGGTTGATGGTAAGTCCACTGTGAGGGACATTGGCTGCTGAGTAGCACCGCAGTAAGCAGTGGCTTAGGAGACTAGGCTACCTGGGCTTTAGGTCTGCTCTGCAACTTTGGGCACATTAACCCTCAAAACCTCAGTGTCTCATGGCATGAACGGCATTATCCACCTCATGAGGCTTTCTGGGGAGTAAATAAGAACATACGTAGAAAGGATATGCACAGTGCCCAGCTAAAGGTAATCAAGCAGTAAGTAGGAGTTATTGTTTGCCTGGAAACTATCAAGTGTAAAGTTGCTGATGTGATGAGATGGAGAAAATTTTATTTTTATTAGCAGAATGCAACCTGGGAAGAGCCCTATTTTTTGTCACATAAAGATTTGTGTGGTTTTTGTTGTTGTTGTTGTTGTTTTATTAATTTTGGCACACTGGGAGAGGATGAGACTTGCTCAATGACCATACTTGAGGAACAGCAGAAGGTGCTGGGAATGTCCTCAGAGGAAGAATGGGATTCAGCTAACTTTCAAACATTGATTTTCCTTAGTGAGATGTGTAAGCAGTGTACCTTAAAGATAGTATACTATGTTCAAAGCACAACTTTTGATTTTTCCCCCAAACCTGTCTGTTTAACAATATTCCTCTGTTTTAGCAAATGCAAGCTTCATTCCATCAGTTGCACTCTGCCATCACCCTTGACTCTGTCTTTCTCTCACATCCTCATCCAGTCCACAAATTAACCCTCTCGGCTTTACCTTCAGAGTATGGACAGAGGTGAGTCAGTCAGTTCTCACTGCCCCCACAGCTGCCCTACTCAAGCCCACCATCAGCTCTGGCCTGGACTCTCCAAATAGTCTGTGCNCTGCCCCCACAGCTGCCCTACTCAAGCCCACCATCAGCTCTGGCCTGGACTCTCCAAATAGTCTGTGCGCACTCTCCCTGCTTCCACCCCTGCCTCCTGCAGCTCAAAATCCTCCTGTGGCTTCCTATCTCACTCACAATCAAAGCCAAAGTGCCAGCAGCGTCCCTCAAGGCCCATGTGATCCCCCCAGCATACCCAGTCCCCCTCTGACCCCTTCCCACCTCTCTTCCCCTCACCAGTCTGGCCTCCTTGCTGTTCCTGGAACAAGCCGAACACTCTCATACCTCAGTGTCTCTGCGCTTGGCTGTTCACTCCACATAGATTGCTCTTCTCTCACATACTGGCCTGGTTCCCTCCCCTATTTCTTTATCGTCTTAGCCAGAGTGTCACTTTACCTGTGAAGGCTTTTGTGACCCCCTTATGTAAAGTATAACTTCATTCCCCCAAACTGAGAGAGAGGGTGAGAAAGAGAGTTACTATTTACCTTGAGTTCCACTTTATTCTTTTCATAACACTGGATATCTTACATGCATTTGTTTCTTTTATTGCTTCTCTTCCTGGTCTAGAATACAAGATCCATGGGAGTAGGCTTTATATTGTTTGCTGCTTTGCCCTCACTGCCTAATCCCTGATGCTGGCCGTTCGTAGGCACTCAGTAAATATGTGCCCAGGAAATGAGTGGACCTGGAGACATTGCCGGGGAACAAAGACACAGGCTGTGGCAGCAGATGCCTAGAGGGGAACTTTGGGGAGAGAAAAGGAGGACATTTTTTACACTTTCATGAAATTCTCCTGGGTAATACCCTATCTCTTCCCCCCAAACTTTTAATAGAACATCCATTCCTTGTTAATGTGTAGTGCAATTGGATGTGTTGAGGAAAACGGAGCCAGAAGTTCTTTATAGAAAAAAAATGTTAGGTATAGTTGATTTACAATATCATATTAGTTTTAGGTATATGGTGTAATAGTTCAGAATTTTTATAGGTTATGCTCCACTTGTAGTTACTGTAAAATATTGGCCACACTCCCTGTGCTGTATGATGTGCCCGTGTAGTTCGCTTGTTTTACACGTGTTAGTCTGTACCTCGCACTTGTTTCTGTAGTCACCAAGTCAAGGCCTACTCTGTGGCGACCCCATGGACCACAGCCCGCCAGACTCCTCCCTCCACGGAATTCTCCAGGCGAGAACACTGGAGTGGGTTGCCATTGCCTTCTCCAGGGCATCTTCCCAACCCGGGGATTGAACCTGCATCTCTGCATTGCAGGCAGATTCTTTACCACTGAGCCAGTGGTTGATTTACAATGTTATGTTAGTTTCATGGTATACAATATAATAATTCACAATTTTTATAGATTATACTGTTTATAGTTACTATAAAATAGTGGCTATATTCCCCATGTTGTGCAATATATCTTGTAGCTTACTTATAGTGCTAGTTTATACCTCTTATTAACCTACTTCTATCTTTCCCCTTCCCCCTGCAACCAAAAGGTCTTAGTAGGGATTTAGGACCTGTGTTGCAGAAGGAAGTGGCAACCCACTCCAGTATTCGTGCCTGGAGAATCCCATGGACAGAGGAGCCTGGCGTGCTACAGTCCATGGGGTCACAAAGATTTGGGCATGACTGAAGTGACTTAGCACACATGCACAGGACCTGTGTAAAAAATCTCCTTGGGAAACTTCCACCTCTGAGTGACACTGTTAAACCCAAGTGCATGATCACAGTGCCAGTGTCTTTTCTAATGGTCGGTTCTCCCTGTACAAGACTTTAGATGTTACCTGTTTGACTTTTCCCATATCACATATAATATTTCCATGCACAGGCATTTTTGAAACAAAAACTATTTCTACATAATAAATGTACCAAACAATCTTTCTTTTTAAATCATGATACTCTAAGCAAAAGCTGCTCCAAACCGTTTGCTCTTGCCAGGGAATATAAAGGGTTAAAATGAGTGGACATCTTGATTGCCTCCATCTTGAGAAAGGCTGGAGCCTCAGGGCTACCCAGCTTTCCTGCAGTTTGCTTTTCAAACTCCTTTCTCCTTTCCTGTCTTCTCTGGGTGTAAGGATTGAATCTGTATATGCTCTAATGCGCATTTGCCAGTGTAAAATGAAAGTGAGCATGAGTCAAAACAAATTTACCTGGGAAGATGCATCAACTCCAATTAAAAGTCTGATAGGAATTCAAAGCTAAACACTGGAACCAGTTGTCTGTTACTTATTTATCATCTTACTCTCTCTGTGTGACCTGTAATTTTGCATAGAAGGAAAGTTCATAATAGGCTTTGGTTTGTTAAAGAGACTAACATGGTACAGTGACTGAAATAATGCTGCAATACAAATACACAGCAATTAAAACATATAATTAGCTTACTTACATTGGAGGAAAAGTTAATGGTGAAAATATGATTCTTTAAAACTTTTGCTTTATACCCCCAAAGTATAGTATGTCTAAGCTTTGTATTTTGCAGATAGTGGATAGGAATTTGGGTTCACTACATCTATCCCAACCAATTGCTCTCGGGATAGCAGGACAAATCAAGAGAGAGGAATAACCATGTAAAATTTGCCTGTGAGAGTAAACCTTTATGGTGTTGGAGGGAGCACAATGAACAGGAAATAAGGAAGCTGATGTTCTTCACCGCTAACTGCATTATCTATAAACTAAATGTTTTCGTTACAAAATTCTTGAAGATTAAGTTCTAGAATTGGTTATCTCTGCTATAAATGATATTTTTATATCATCATTTTCTATTTGTAGTGACTTTTTTATCCTTTTTTAATTACTTCCTGAGCTGTCTACATTTAAAAAGTACAAAATTTTGGAATCATTTTCCTAGGATTTAAAACATGTGAAAGACCTCCTAGACTTTAATTATAATCCTGGGGTGACAAAGATTATTTCTCTTGTATTGATGTTGCAGACCCTGTCACGAAACCAGTGGTGCAGGTTCAGCCTTCCTCTGGGGTTGTGGAGTACGTGGGGAACATGACTCTGACGTGCCTCGTGGAAGGGGGCAGCCGGCGGGTTTACCAGTGGCTGAAGAATGGGAGGCCTGTCCACACCAGCTCCACCAACTCCTTCTCTCTTCAGAACAACAGCCTTCACATTGCTCCAGTGACCAAAGAAGACATTGGGAATTACAGTTGTCTGGTGAAGAACCCTGTCAGTAAGATGGAAAGCGACATCATTATGCCCACCATATACTGTAAGTTTTTAAAAATGTAAATGTATTTATATACCCCTGGAGAAGGAAATGGCAACCCACCACAGTATTCTTGCCTGGGAAATTCTATGGACCGAGGAGCCTGATGGGCCCCGGTCTGTGGTGTCACAAAAGTCAGACATGTCTGATCGGCTGAGTTTTCTTCTGGGACGTTTTCACCAGAATTGTCACAGAGAACATCAATGCCAGGCTCCATTTGGTTCTCACCACTATTGTAATGCAGTGCCAGCTGCAGTTGTACTTCCTAGGCACTGTCTTGTCAGGAAGTATAGTTACTTGCACAGCCCAATTTCTTGAAGATCCAGTTGAGATACTGGTCTTTTGAATATATTCTCTGACTCAGTGCATTCTGTGACCTTATTGCCGATGAAAAATAGAAACCTCAATTTCAAGAACCCAGAACCATGCAGAAGGCATTGATTTATTCACCCACAAGGAGGGAGAGTTGTTCATCATAAAATGGGACAGGGATGTGCTCTGGAGCTGACCACTGGGAGAAAGAATGTTCCCAGGTTATATGTGGGTAATACAGCCCAGGGTATGGCTACTCTTTCTGCCCATTTTCTCAGCCCCGTTTTTAGAGGCAGGGTGCAGAGAGGATCACAGAGAAAACCTAATTATTCTGCAGCAAGTTATTCAGCTTCCCAGCAAATCTATAATTATTTCAGGTTTCACTTTTCTTTGGTTCTTTTTTCTGTTGCTGTAGTTGCTGTTGTTATTGTTTTGATTTTAATCTCATGTACGAAGTTAAGTTCACCAAACTTTTCAGTCCATGTCGTATGATCATCATCAACCCATGCAAGATCTCTCTTGATTGTATTACTTTTCCCCGTCACCTCTACTCCGCAGCACCACCTCTAATATGTTTAGCCTTGCATCCTACTTTCAGCCTCTCACAAAGTTTCTCAGCCTCCACCCTAATGACATTTTCACTGGACAACTCTTTGTTGCGGGTACTTGTCCTTTGCATTATAGGATGTCTAACAGCTGCCTAGCCCCTACCTGCTACATACCAGTAGCACCCTTCCCTCCAGTTGTGACAACTAAAAGTGTCTCTAGACATTGCCATATGTCCCCTGAGTGCAGGAGAGAGGGAGTGGTATGTGCAGAATCTCCCCAAGTTGAACCAATGGCTTTTCACATTGGGAAGCCATCTTATCAGTTGCCATCATAGCTGACTTAATGCGTGGCCACAGCAGCAGTATAATGAAATAAATGAGGCATGGCAAAGGAAGACTTCTCACCCTGTGGCGTGAGGGTGGAGGGGTCAGCTGGGTGAACCACAGGGGTAGAATTAAGCCTTGTAAATGTATCTACTCCCTCATCAAACATATCTCCATAATGCCCAGAAAGGCCCTAAAGACTATTGTTTAAGTGTTTAGGAGGTAGACAGACCTAAGTAGGCAATGGGTTCTGTCACTACATATGTGACCTTAACAAGTCCCTGACCTTTCTGGGCCTCATCTATAAAATGGAGATGGTTAAAACTACTTTCCTACAATAAATGAAATCCTGTCTGAAAATTAGCCAGTGACTGACACCAAGCAGGCATTCAGTAAGTGGAGGCTGTTTGTGTTATCAAGACATCTGTCTTCTGTTTTCTTCAATAGAAAGTTGATAGTCTTTCTTGAGAATGTGTGTTATTAATTCTTTGAGGAAAAGCACCAGCATATGTAGGGTTTGTTTTTTTTTTTCAGCTATATCAAGCTTAACAATAAAACTGAGCTCCAGAAATGTGGTCGGAAAAGTGACTTCTGGTCTGGGAAGTGTAATACGGTGGTTTGATACAGGTATACAATAAGATCTGCTTCATTAAGCAAGACTCAGATAAGAAAAATGGAACCATTGATTCTTTTAAAAAATCTTTTAATGTGTTTATTGGCTGTATCTGGATTTCAACAGTGGACAGATGACAGGTTAGGATAATCCAAGGGATTAAGTACAAAGATATGAATGGGATGTAGGAGAAACCCAGACTGTTACCAATAAACCTGATTCTGCACCTAGATCCAGAAGGACAGGCGCAAGGAGAGGTTACTAGAGACCTTGAAAAGTAAAATTCCATAAAGCAGGGGCCTCTGGTGGAAAGAAACAGCCAGAATAAGGAAAGGAACAAGGAAAACAAACACCTCAGCCTCATTCTCCTCCCTCATTCTAATCTTCTGCCAGGAATCCCCCGTGGCCAAATTCACCCAGAAGTCGGAGGGAATGGGAACGCTGCACAGGCTAGGATCGTGGCACGCTGCTTCTTAACACTGGAAGCTCTCCAGTATTTTAGCAGAAGTGAGATAATGTGACGATGAAATGTGTGGGACCGTCATAGATACTGTAGGAATGCCTGCAAAGGAGCACAGCGTGGGCACAGAACTCTGGAACGGAAGGCCTGGGTTCAAATCCTGCTTCTGCCGCCTTAGCTCTCTTGTGCCTTAGTTTCCTCATCTATAGAATGGTGATAATGATAGTAGCTACTTCCTAGGTACTGTTATTATTTGGATTAAATCTGTTACTGTACATAACTTGCTTACAACAGTGACTCAGTGTGAGTTGCTCAGTCATGTCCAACTCTTTGCTACCCCTTGGACTGTAGCCCACCAGGTGGCTCTGTCCAGGAAATTCTCCAGGCAAGAATACTGGAGTGGGTTGCCATTTCCTTCTCCAGGGGATCTCCCCCACCCAGGGATCGAACCCCAGTCTCCTGCATTACAGGCATATTCTTTACCATCTGAGTCACTAAGAAAGCCCCACAGTGACAGGCCCATAGTAAATAGTATATAGCTGTTGGCTACTATTATTACTACAATATTATGTGTCTTTGGGAATTCAGAGAAGGAAAACATTACTTCTAGCTGGAGAGAAGGCTTGTTGTAGGAAGTAACATTTGAGATGTACCTCGAACGATGGATTTGAAGGGGACAAGGGGAAATGTCTGGAAGAACATTTCAGGCACTAGGGAGAGTAGACACAGATGCTAGACAGAGATCAGAGTATTTGGCAAGTGGTCCAGTTTGACTGGAGCATAAGATGCAGCAAGGAATAGATACAGCTTCCCCACGCCCCTCTGTCAGAAAATGGAATGTTCCTTTGAAACCTTGTATGAATCAAAATGGTGCAAAGTAAACAAGCATTACCTTATGACCTGTTTTGCTAAGGGATGCGAAAAGTGAGTCAAAATAAAACACAGGTGCCCACAAAGTTCAGAGCTATGGAGGCTTGATGCTGAGATGCTGAGTGTAGTTCCCTGGGAAGGAGCTTGGGGGCACCACTTTTGCTGCTGGGGAGCCCACTGCCTCTAAAACAGTTCCTGGAAAACAAATTCTGAACGCTATTTTTCACTTTTCATCTTTTTTTCGAGAAAGCAAAAGTCCTCTCTAGACTTCTCTCAGTCAGCTAAAACAGATATTAATGCAGGTCTTTCATAAAAGCTAAGTGGCATAAGCAGAGCTTTGAAAAGCTGCGTCAGATTGCAGGGAGCTTTGAACACCAGGCATCACTTGGTAAACAATTAGGAAAATTATTTTTCAAGAAAGCTCCAATTTTTTAGAAGACTGCAGAATATTTTATAAATAAATACACAAACATATTCTAGGGTAAATCAACAAATGTTTTTCTAGAGAGCATGTTTTCAAGCTAGATCATGAATGTCATACAATTATAGAAAGAATATATATAGGAAAGGAAAAAAGGGAGGTAGGATGTATTTTATTAACCTATTCTACAGATAAAAAAGTCACCAAATTTGAGCTGCATGCAGTAATTAAACACATCTAAGAGCAACTTAAAAGCATTTTTTCCAAAAAAATATTGTTCACACAGAAATAGAAAAAACTTCATACATTGTATAATTCAGCATTAGGGTAGGGGAATCCAAAGAGGATTATCTGCTAGTCCAACCTAGCTCAGAATTCAGTGTCTCAAAGATGAACCAGTCTCTTCTTGCAGAAAGAGGAGAAGTTATCAATGTATTAAAGAGCATAAAGGAAGAAGGAAATTATAGTTTTTCACCAAAAAAATACCAAAATACCACTCTTGAAGCAAATTATATAAGATTTATTGCAATCACTAGTTATATTGTGTTTAACAATGACATTGTTTTTATAGCTAAACTTTTAGCTATATTTTATAATAGTTTTATGTAATGTTATATTCAGATAACTGTGAAAATATTCTGTGTGCCTTAAAACACAGAGAAATGGATTTACAAAGTATAAATTGTGACTATCTGCATGGCTAGCGTTGAATTAGAGTGAAAAATTTAGATTTGGCACTATCTGTTAGTACATGTAGTCATATTCTTGACTGAATAAGGTTATTTTGACATAAATTTAAACTTCCATTCAACTCCAGGGAGCACAGACCTAAGCATTCAAGTTACCTGAACACAGTGAAAGAAAATGGGAGCAGACAAATGAAATCAAATCTAGGGCTATCTAGAGACTCCTTACATTATTTAGGATGTTCTTTATTATATGGTCTAAACAATTTACACTCACATAGAAAAGGTACAAAATGGTAAACAAGATATTAAACCAACCAGGTATCATCAACTAAAAATTAATTCAGAGAAACAGTCACTCAGTGTAGTAAGAGACAGCAGAAAATTATGGTGGAGCATTCTTTGTCCACTGACGAAAACCTGATCATATTTTGTTTCCATACAGACTCCAATAAGTGCTATGTCCTTTGGAGAGTATAGCATTTAGCACAGTGTTATGAGGCTAAGCTGTCATTCAAGCTGCCTGCGTTAAAGCTTTGGTTCTGCCATTATTACTCTGTGTCAGTTTCCTCGTCTCCTTATCAGCACTGTCCCAGTGTAAGGCTAAACCCTATCTCTAGAGGAATGGGGAGGATTATGTGAGACTTTATGTGTAAAGAAGGCAGTGAGTGGCACATAGGAAAAACTCAATAAAATTAGCTGCTTGGCTTTTCCTCTTTTTTTTCTTTTCCCTTGGATCCCAAACTATGCTGACATAATTGGCAACATG